ACAATCTTCTGAAAGATAAAACTGGAAGATTTAAGTGTGGGCAAAGATTTTATGAATAAAACCTTGATACCACAGGAAATATTACAAGGAATGAATAACTAGAGTCTTATCATATTATAAAGCTTGTAAACAGAAATAAAAATGAGCAACAGAGAGAAGAGACAATCCACCAAATGGGGAAAAGTTTTTACCAGCTATTCCTCAAAGTACTGATATCTGGAAAATACAAACAACTCAAAAGAAATTGGAATTCACCCAAATGTAAGGAACAAAGTGGGGACCTGAAATAAACAAACACTTCTCAGATGAACAATTAAGTAAACAATTAAGTATATATAAAAAATGTTTAGTATCACTGGTCACTCCAGAAATGCAAATTAAAACACTGATATTACATGTAATCTCAGTGTTCTAATTGTAATCTTGTATTAGTTATAATCTAATTACAACTAATAACAAATGCTGGTGGGGCTGTGGGGAAAACTCATCCCTTCTTCACTGTTGGTAGGAGTGTAAATTGATACAACCAATATGGTAAGCAGCACAGAAATTCCTCAAAAAGCTAAAACTAGAGGTTCCATTTGACCCAGCTATCCTCCTGCTTGGTATCTTATGAAAGAATTTAAAGCATCATATCATAGCAATACTTGTACACCCATGTTTAGAGCAGCACAATTTATAATAATAAAATCTTGGAAATAGCCCAGACACCCATCAATAGATGAATGGATAAAGAAGGTACGGTTTTTATGTACAAAGCAGTACTGCTCTGCCATAAAAACTTGAGGTATTTTATGCAAATGAATACAATCGAAGACCTCATTTTTAAATGAAATAAATCAGATGCATGTATAAATATTACACTCTTCTTTTGTATGAGACACTGAAAGAGTAAATAACGACCAATAAGTGGAAGTATAAGTGGAACAAGGGGAAGGTGGAAGGAGAAGGTGTGGGAAGCCCTGTAACCGGCTGCCACCTTAACATCTGCAGGCCACACCACCTTAATTCCCTCTAGGAGTTAGGTTTGGTAATTAAGCAGCATCTTGCATAACTTGTTTAGCCTGGCCCCGTTATTCAGGGATTGTGCTTATTGAGTCCTCACAAGTGAAATTTGAACTGACTATAAACTCTGGGTCTTGCCACTGTTGCTAAGTTACCTGCTGATGTCTCAGAACCCAAATCCCTCCTCCTCAATACCCTATATATTTGATACTCATTCCTTGAATAAAGAGAGACTTGATTGGAATTCCTCAGCTTGTCTCCGCTTTTTATGTCTCTTGTTCCCTTTTCATCCTCAATCCCCCTTTAGGGTCTCCGTGGACTTACCCGCAGGCCAGGTCAAGAAAGGAAGGAAGAGATAGAGGAAAAAGAAAGAAGAGAACAAAAGGAAAAAATGTGGAAATACAACATTCATAAATGAGGAGGGCAGCAAGGATTAAAGAGGAAAAGGGAATGGGGTAAAAAGAAGAATCAAGATATATTATGTGCAGGTAAAATTCCTTATGATGAAATTGATCATTATTTGTATCAGAAGTGTACCAATAAAATTTTTTAAAAGAGTATACTGCTTACCTTCCATGCATTTCCTTGATTTCTTTGTTTTTGTCATTGATTTCCAACTTCTTTGTGTTATGATTTGATTATATGCATGGTCTAACTTCAGTTTTTACATTTCCTTAAACTTGTTTTATTGACTAGCATGTGGTAGGCTTTGGATAAAGTTCTACATGGTACTGAAAAGAAAGTGTATTCTACTGTTGTTGGGTGGAACAATGTAGATATTGTCCCTATTACGTCCATTAAAGTCATTTTGTTCAAAAGTTTAGTTCAATTCTGATTTCTTTTTTGTCTCTTTGTCTATTATGGTATGGTATTGAGAGTCCTCTCTATAACTGTGTTTGTGTTTAGTTCATCTTTTACTTCTAGTAGTTCTTGTGTTCTAATGATGGGTGTGCTCTTGTTTTGTGCATGTATATTAATAATTGTTCTCTGTCCTTGTGTAATTCATCCTTTCATAAATATGTAATGTTTGATTCTTTTGTTCTCTTTTGGTTTAAAGTCCACTTTGAATACAGGATAACTACATATTCTTCTTTTTAGGTTCCTATCTCATGGAACTCTTGGTGTTAAATATGTTTTTTGTATATAGTATGCCACGGGATTTTATTTTTTGGTTAATTCTATACGCTTGTATCTTTTGGTTGGAGAATTGAGACCATTCATATTGAGAATTATAGGTATAGCCTTGGTCCTGTTGCCACTGCCTTATTTCCTGTTGTTGGTTCCCCATTCTTCCCTTTGACTTAATGGCTTTCCAGACCTGATATACTCATTTTAGCAGATTGTTTGGAATAGTCAGCTTCACTGTGTCTTTGCAGGATGCCCCTGAAAATTTTTTGGAATGCAGGTTTCATGGTCATGAATTTATTCAGATACTCTTATCAAAAATTGCCTTACATCTTCAACAAATTTGAAAGATAAGTTTTGCACAATACAATAGCCTGAGTTGGAATTTTTATCCTGGAATTTAAAATACTTTGCTCTAAGCTCTCCTGGCCTTTAACTGTGCTGGGTAGGTGGCTGTAATTCTAATGGGTTTAAATGATTCATTGCTTTTGTCTAATGGTTTTTAAGATTCTGCTCTTGTTTTGCACTTGGGGATTTAGAGAATCGTGTCATGGAGAGGTTCTTTTCTAATTTTGGCTCTCTAGAGTTCTACATGAGTCACTTATGTGTATGTTAAAGTCCTTCTCTTTATTTGAAAAGTTTTCTGCTTTACTTCAGTAAACAGGGTTTTTGTGCTACTTTGACTTTCATTAATTGATATCAGATTAATCTTTGTGTCATCTATGAGTCTTTGCATCCATTTTTCATGCTCTCTTAGTGTTTTTATAATATCTCTCATTATCTCATTACCAAAGGAAGACAGTTCTAATTCTGACACTGTTTCCACACTGCTCACATCTGCTTCTCGTTAATTTCCTGAATTTCTGTTCAGAGCCTTTTGCAAACTCTAATTCTCTTCTGGGCTGGTCATTCATGTTTTGCTTCATTTTATCTTAGCCATCCTTTCATTAATGTCTTCTGTAAACTCACTGTTCATTTCATTTATTTGGCTCATTATCTGTTTACTTATCTTTTCTATAAGCTTGCAAATACCTTACTGATCCAGGAAGGATTATGTCCCCTGATATCATTTCCAATAATTTGGCTGTGTGACTTTTGATTTCTTCCATTTCAATGCCCTGTGCATCGAGTTTGGGGAAACTGGGAATTTTTGGAGGCATTTTGTTGGCTTATCTTCTTATGTATTTAATTTTTTATTGGAGTTAATGTAAATATATGCAAAGTGTGCTTGTTCCTTATGGTGTGTGAAGCCACTGTCTGTCCCATACTGAGCTTACATTTTTTAAGAAAGTCTATTTCTGGGTCACTATACCTCTCTAACATTAGTCTCCAGTCTCTTTGGCAAGGCAATACGAGAGATCCTCAATCTGTTAGCCAGATATGTACTTTCCCCATAGGTCTGCTGGTTCTCCAGTCTGAACTTCTCTCCTTATGGGTTCTGTCCAGAATAAAGTTGATTGGTTAGTCTACCCCTCAGATGCCCCATTTTAGAAGGAAACAAAATGTATTGCTAGCTTGGAGTCAGTAGACTAGACAGGGAGTGTGAGGTACAGCATAGGCCTGCTTGTTCACATCAGGCGAGGCACTGCAAGACTGGTACACGCCTAATTGCTTGCTTTGGCTACCTATTAATTGTGCTCCAAGAAAACTTTCCCTTTCTGTAGGTACATTTTTTGAAAACACAAGTTCTATTACTTGTGGAATACATTCCTACAAAGTAGTTAGAGCGCCCTGTTGTTCCATTGCATCGAGAATTATTATTTATTTATTTATTTTTTGTCTTTTTTTTTTTTTTTTTTTTTTTTTTCCATTTTTATCGGTACCGGGGATCAAACTCATGGCCGCCTGCTTGCAAGGCAGGTACTTATGCCGCTGAGCTAAATCCCCAGCCCCCTGCATCGAGAATTATATCATCTTTATCACATCATTCTTATAAAACTGTGTATGTGTTTATCTAAAGTTTGTCTCCCCCAACCAATAGTCCACATGCTGAAACATCGGTTTGGTACTCTTGCCTACTATTATATTTCTTGATCTTACAATAATGTCTTGACACATTTTATTCTTGTAAAAATATAACTATTAATGTTTGCATTTTTATTACTCAAATCACCTTTTATGAACAACTGCTATAAAGAATGGAAACATAAATTTATTTTATTTAACACTGAAAGTCAATATATTTTTATTTAAGGAATTAAATATGTGGTTTCTTCCAATACTCATGAAGGTCATCTTTGTTCCTCTAAAACTTCAGCATATTTATCTTTAGGAGAGACATGCCTTGGTTCCTTTATTTGGGTTTCTTTTATCTTCATTTGAATTATGGATATAGTGTAGAATATTCCAAATTGCCCACTTATGCTCTTTAAGATCTAATTTCTTCAAGGAAGTATACTTTAGTGTTCTTTTTAGAGTAGTTGGATTTGTCTGGTTCTAAATTTCTGACACCTCATTGTTACATAAATGAGTTCAAAATATATTCATTCCCCAGCTATCATAGGCCACAATAATCCAGATCTATGAAATATATATTATAATATCTTTTAATATCAGATATCATATTCTCTACACAGGCCTTTTGTTTTTTTTTTTTGTCTTTTTTCATTTTTTCATTTTTATCGGTACCAGGGATCGAACTCACGACTGCCTGCTTGCAAGGCAGGCGCCTATGCCGCTGAGCTAAATCCCCAGCCCCCTACACAGGCCTTTTGTAAAAAAGGTCATCTTCATATATTGGTATGTCATATGAAAAATGTGAATCTAATTAATTTAGCTAATATTTACCTTGTATCTTACACTTTTTAATTACCAATTTCTCAGCCCTAGAATTTACCTTTAGAGATATAACTTTAAATTGTCTTGGGCATAATATTCCTTTCTATATGTATCAAAACTCATAATTAACAATGAGTTCTGAGTTTCAAAAGAGGACAAATTTTTTATACCTATTTTATATATTTACTTTTTTGTTCAAAGGTTAAACAAAACACACAGAGTACCATGAAACAACTTTAGGATGCTACAAATGTTATGGCAAACATTTCTGATTAAAAATTCTTAAAAGAATGTAATAACACAAAACAAACTCTAAATTCCACTAACAAATAATAAAAATGTAACAAAATCTTATAATCTGTGCTATTAGCAAATTTTCTATCATTCTCGTTTTCAAATTCAGTAACTATAACATTAGTTTAAGTTGTAGAGTTAAGATTCTTTTCATGCTTAGGAGACCTATTGATGGGAAAATATTTTTTTTCACTACCAGTTCAGTAGCAAAGTTAGCATATATGTGAATTCAGAGTTACTTTTTTTTTAAACCAACAGGACATTTGCTAGCCTTGTCAAATATATTTTCCATTTTCTCATTCCTCAAAAAGAATTATCACCAAATCCCATCACAATGAGATTTTGTAAGAAATAGCAGGCACTTGTATAAAATACACTTTGTGCTACGAAAGTTTTTCCTGCCAAGTAGAGTGGCACATGCCTGTAATCCTAGGACTCAGCTGGCTGAGGCAGGACTGCTGTTGAGTTTGACACCAACCAAGGATACATACCACATGCAAGGCCAGTCTGGGTTAGCTACAAAGTACGTTCAGGACCTTCCTGAACAACATGGTGAGACAAGGTCTCAAAATAAACAGATTTTTACCTCTGCACCTTTAATATTGCAGTTAGCAGAAAGCTTACTTTAAATTTGAAGAATGTATTATTATGATTAAAAAAGATTAGGTCAAGGAATATCAAAATGAGAAATATATAGATGAATTCTTAGGAAAACAGGCTATTTCTCAGAATATGGCACAGTGAAAAAATACTGCATAATACTGTAACATTCAAGTTAATTTTTTTTTTAAATTTGGGTTTATATACTATTCATAAATTATTTTTCCAAAAACATTCTTTGATTATACCTCCCCTTGAAGGAAAGGAGAAATTTGACTTGCAGTAAGCATTATTCCCTTATTAATCTAATTAAATAAAATTCCAAATAAGAAATACGCGAGTCATGGTAAAATTCAGTAATTATTGTTCATAGAATGCTACAATTGACAGGAATTTCAAAGTGAGAAGGACACAGTTTTTGGCTGGATAGAAGTCAGATGTGTCAAAGAGTGGCAGTTATATCATCTTACTGCATCCACTGCCCATAAAACTTTGCAAAAATCACAGTTAAGAGCTATTTGTCACTAATTCATAAGTACAGCACTTCTTTAAAAATAATTTTAATCACAGTGTTTTAACAATACTAAGAACTCCTACCACATATCTTTATACATTTCATATAACCTCCTTCACATTTGTAGCTGGATACCAAGTATATGCCGTGCTCATATCAAACTACTTCATGTGTCCTGATGAAACGCTCAGGAAGCAACCCTAAGTGTAGCACTGAAACAGATGGGGTGGCAGATGGCACTGGAGATTTGCTTCATTTGATCTGTGTAAAATAACTTTACTGTTTGGTAAGATGTGGCTCAAATCTCACGAAAATTTCATAAACTTCATTTTAAAAATTTGATATACAACATTTCCTCCAAAAACTGAATGTGTTTATTTTAAATTATTAACGTTTAAGTACATGTGTGATAAAACATTTATCTAGAAGATATTATCTTATACATTTTAGAACAGATGGTAGGAAAGAGCAGTTGCCCAGTTGAACAAATGTACACTGAGTATCTGCCCAAAAAATGTAAAATTAATTACCTTCCTTCATTGATGAGTTCAATAAATGCAAGTCCTGCATTCTTCTGAATAGAATTTTGCCATTCCTGAAAGGAGAAACAAACTAAATATGAGAAAGAGGATCGTGAAAGTGAAGGTAACATTAAGGTTAAAGATCATGTTGATGTTGTTAGTATCTTCCACAATGTCTAAATGTCTTTATGAGATTTTATAACAAATGATATTTTGCAGGAAGTCAAAATTTTAAATTTTTCTTGTACACTTTAGTTTCAAAGGTACTTCTAAGTGCCCAAAAGGTTTGTGACTATGATGAAAGGTGAGAGGCAGGTATAGAAGCTCTCTGCACAATGTTTCCTTCCAAAGGAGATCATGTGACCAAAAGAGGACCATGTGACTATACAAGCACCAGATATACTAAAAATGGAGAATTTCAATCCCTAACATAGTAATTTTCTTTTGAATTATAAAATAAAATTGAAAAATATAGACAATACATTTGATTTGAAAATTAAGTATCTTAATTATGTAAATATTTCATATGATTGAAATTTACACAGAAAAATGATTCTTTTGAAATTTATAAAAATTACTAAATATTAAAATGATACCTAAATGTAAAGCATTTGTTCTCTTTGCTAATGTAGATTTGTGAATTGGTAATTGCATGAGCTCAGGAACATCATTACGAACATAAATGATTGTAATAGACTGTTTTGAATTAGGAAAGCGTATTGCTTATTGGTATTCTTCCTATGGAATATTTAAAATACGATTTAAAAATCTTACTTGGTTATTTACTAGTACTCTTTTTTAGTGAGTTAAAACATGGCTGGTAAAGAAGTTTTTCACATTGAAAATCATACCCCTTTCAACAGTTGCATGAATACTCCTTTAGCTCCATTACACACACACACTCACACACACACACAGATATCTTATTAATTACTGACACACTTTATCTATAGATCCTCGCAGTGATTTTCCTAATAAGGAGCTGGCCACACAGATGTGGTCAGCTGCCCTGTCTAGACAATGGAAACTCAAAAAACTCAGTTTTTTGGTCAATGCTTACTTTATTTCTGATCTCAGGAGCAAGGCTTTTATTGCTTTGTACAAGATCTGGGGAAAGAGAAATACCCTGAGGAAGTCACAGTCACTGGTTTCTAGCTACAATCTACCAAACAATGACTACAATTCCATTTTATGAAATTCATTTAAACTTTGAAGTCATTTCTATTAAAAATAATAACAAGGAGATCTTTTTGTATCTTTTTACAAAATGACTTCTCTTTATATTTCCAATATATACACAATATTTATTGCAAACCATGATCCCTTAAAATATGAAACTGTCTGAAGAATACATAATATTTACTTTAATTAAAAGAAGCTGGCTGGGCATAATGGCACATGCCTATAATCCCTACACTTGAGAGGCTGACGCGGGAGGAAAAACACGAGTTCAAGACCAACCTAGGCTACATAATATGTTCAAGGCCAGCCTGAACTACATAGTGAGACCCAATCTTGAAAGCAAGCAAGCAAGCAAGCAAGCAAGCAAAAGGAAGGGAGAAAACTGATTCTATGCAAGACATTCTATGCCACTGTGAAGAATAGATTCTTATAGACAACTTCTCAGGCATGTTTTTTATATGCTACTGTGTATACACTAAGGATTTTCTATTCGCATGAAATGCTAAAATTAATAGAATATTTAATTATACTTTAAAGAATACATATTTTAGAATTTCAAAGCACTCCATATTATACCTTATTTAAAGGATCAGCAGCACAAAATACTTTTTAAACCTCTGCTCAGATGGAATAAATAATATCTGCAATCTGTGTTTAGCCCGTAAGGTGCTATTTTATACCTTTAATATGGAAATCGCAGAAATAGGTCTGAGCTAAGGTCAGGCTGTTAGTCATTAAAGGATAACAAAGCCTACTGAAAGTATATCAGACTTTAAGGAGTTGGAATTTAAAAACATAATTTGTAGTTTATTGAGCAGGGGGAAAAAGCAGAATTTTTTAACATGTCTTTTCAAAAATGAGACAGTAAGAGTCTAATAAGATATTCTGAATGAGAAATTGCAAATAAGGATTACAAAGCATACACTCCAGGACAGGATGAAGATTTGAACTTCAGGGATAAAGTAGAAGAGTGGCATCAAATAAGTTACCAAGGTATCAATGTAGATGACTAACAACATCGTATATTGTCATGAAACTACTGAAGACAGACATTTATTTTGAGAAATCATAAATGATATCTTCAGTCAGCATCTGTTAGACTGTGAAAGATGGTACATCAAAAAGAAATGTGGAATACAGAATGATTTACATAGAGAAATATATATATATATATATATATATATATATATATATATATATATATATTTTTTTTTTTTTTTTTTTTGGTTTGGTAGCGGGGATAGAACTCACAACTTTGCACTTGCCAGGCAGGCACTTATACCACTGAGCTAAATCCCTAGCCCTATGTAGAAATCTTAAGGCCTGGCATTAAGTGAAAGTCTCCTCACAATAAACAAAAAGACTATTAAAATCTAGGCTGAATTTTAAAGCATTCACATTTTTATGACAGAAAACAAGCACTTAAAAGTAACAGGGAAATATCTACCAAACTTTAAGAACAGAAGGAGAATATATTGCATTATTCAAAAGAAAACAATTCACCTATTCATTCATATATCCATCCATATCCACAGCAAGACAGAATATTAAAAGGTACCCTTTAATCAAAAACAGTACTTTAAAAGTCATTATGTAGAGTCCTGTTGGCAATCTGACATGAAAGATATAGACCAAAATAATAGTAAAAACAGATACTGGAGATGGAGGTGGGGAGAAGAAAATGAAACTTAGAAAATGAGAGATGACAAAGTAACAGAACAAAAACTGTATGAATACAATTGACGTGCATTGATATTACAGACATTTTTAAAAGCTTTAAAATAAAAGATGCAATTATTTCCCAGAAAATAGAACAAAAAATAATAAAGTGTAATTAAGAGAAAATAAAAAGGTAAGGAAATTGGAGGTTCTTCCTTTGGAAGTCTAGCAATCACTGAGTAAACATTTTAGGAATAGTAAGAAAGAAACATGGAAGATAGATAATTACTAAAGAAATTCCATTATCCTAGCAAGATACATCATCACAAAATTGTACAATAAGGAAAATCCTAACAGAAAAAAAATGTTCAGAATTGTCAAGAATCAGACACTAGGGGCTGGGGATTTAGCTCAGCGGCATAAGCCCCTGCCTTGCAAGCAGGCAGTCATAGGTTCAATCCCTGGTACTGATAAAAAGGAAAAAGACAAAAAGAAAAAAGAAAAAAAGAATCAGACATTAAGGTGATGCTTGCCTGGTAACCAGCACCATACAGAGACACTGCCAGAGTAGGGAGAGCCACACTCAAGCTGCACTCCATGGGTCTGCACCATTTGCAGGCTATGGAAAGAGAGAACCAGGAGGTGATCCCCTCCTGGAAACCCTATCATTTTCACTGTTTTCTTTGTTGGGTTTTATTCTCAACTGTTTTGCTTGATTACGTTAAATCTAACGGTATGAACAGCTGTTTAAAAGACAGCAAGACATATTATGATAGCCGTTCTGGATTTACTATTAACTTATTTTGAAATCCTTTACAACATTCATTGTTTTGTTTTTAGTGTTTCTACTCTGTTCCATTCTGTTCAATTTGTATTATGTCCAAAGGTATCTATATCTATTTTGAAGACAACAAAAGGCATTATGGTAACTATTGCTGATGTCCAAAGGTATCTATATCTATTTTGAAGACAACAAAAGGCGTTATGGTAACTATTGCTGATTTCATAAGGTTTTGAAGTCATATATCACTTTTACTAGTTTATTTTGATTGATTTTATTGTTTTAGTTTCCTTGGTTTTATCCTCTTTGACATAAAAAATGAAAAACATTACAAAAAAATCAGACACTATACTTTTCATTAGCAAGACTACAAGGCAAAATGAAACAATGTCTCCCAAATTATGAGAAGTATAATACAACACACTATTCTGCTAAATAATAAAATATGAGGTGATAATACTCTAGTTTCTCTTCAGAAGACACAAATCTTTTGCCTTTTAAAATATGAGATGATAAAATAATAACTTTTTTAGACACACAAGAATTTTTTCCTTACCCATTCTCAGTCTAGAACTGAAGGTCTTCTCTGCCAAAATGAGAAAATATATTAAACAGGAAAATGAGGAATAAATTGTGACAGTAGTCAAATCTCCCAGGAATAAAAAACGTTTAAAATCAAATTGCGTGTTTTGCTCAAATTCTGTGTTCCATTCTATATTATTAGAAGTCTTATCTGGGAGGATCAGCATCATAGCCATTGTTTGGAAAATGATTGGCAATCAAGAAACAAAGCCACTTTACTCACTAATGAGCTTTTACTAGCTTCTGTCCAGGATTAACACCTATTGTTTTTGCCCAGCCTTGATTGGCTAGGAAAAGTCACAGGACTATGCACAGACTCCAGAGTAGGGTGGTTCAACCCATCAAGTACCCAAAAGCAAAGAAAGAACCAAACTTATATGACCAACTCTAAAGATTACCAAAAAAGAAAAAAAAAGATAAATAAATAAAGATCAAAAGATGAAGAGACAGATCTAAGAAACATTTGAGTGACCCAGGAGAAAGATAATGGGAACTCTCAAGTAATAGTAAATACAACGGTCAAACAGAGCTGAGAGACTACCTGATGTTCACTGCATATAAACTTTTTAGTTCTACTGAAATGATTTGGAAATTTTTGGGGACAATCAAGAGAGCAAAGCAACGACTCCAAAGATTGTTTAAGGCAAAAAAAAAAAAAAAAACAACAAAAAAAAAAAACAAAAAAAAAACCCCTGATAATTTAGCAACAATTGTTATTTACAAGAAATACATTTACAATTAATTTTGGAATTTACATTCCAAAATACTGAGATTGCTTTGGTGGAAAAAATGCTGAAAAGTAGCAATTTCCCACCTTATTTTTTGAGGTGTAGGTAGGGGCAATAGTATATCAAGAGTAAAATATTATAA